GACACTCACAGCCCCTGTTAGAAACCTTTAGGAGATTTTATTTAAGTTTTCATAGTTGAACCATTGTGGGCAAGTCCTCAATATTTGCATAATAATATGGTAATCCATTCAAAACAATAACTGAGAGAGATTGACCAGTGCCCTTTTATGCAGGACCAGTAGCATATGGCTCATGGTCCTACCTGTTTCCACGAGGTTCTATCAATAACAGTGTACATTAGTATCTATTATGGTAGAAAAATGCATGTTAGTATGTCAAATGATTTTTAACAACTGTTTTTGTTACCTTTATATGCCAGCTGGGAGTCCTGTCTATGATTAAAAGAGATTTGCCTTAGTTTATTAGACTTGATTATAACACTGCCATGATTATTATTCCTTAATTTATCAATTAATTCAGCCAAACAGTGCTCCAACACTTCATCAGGAATGGTACAAGAAATATGGCAAAGTGTTTGGGTATGTATTGTCTAAATAGGCAATATCTTGAAAAGTGTGAGAAGTACTCAGTTGCATGTCACCTTGTCAGCTTCTCTGCAATGCACTTCCTTGTGTTCTTAAAATTCCTGAGCTAGAGTACTGCTTATTATTATAACTCAACAATGAACTTAATCATTGTGTGAGTTATTGATAACTAGTTAATAAGCATTTCTTTCTTAAATGAGTAATTTTAAGTTGATCATTTGACTTATATCAATCATTCTGCCATGAAGGATGTTAAACTGCAACCTTGAGGCTGCTATATAATCAAACTGTTAAATTCTGATGAGGCCAATTAAGTTGACATATGTGTAGTGGGATCAGGGGTTATTGATGATCAGACAAGCTAGTCTACTTCCTGTTACACACTCATTAGTCTGGCCGAGTACACTACAGCCATATAGAGGTAGCACAACTAGCATATGGCAAGGTGTTTGGGTATGTATTCTCTAAATAGGCAACATTTTAAAAAGTGCACCCCTAGTCAGCTTCTCTGAAATGCACTTCCTTGTGTTCTCAAAATTCCTGAGCTAG